CTGCATGATGCATGTCCTCAGGGTATTTTTTTTATATAAAAAAGCAATACTAGCAGTTTCTATATCAGGGATGAATCTTGAATTAATCAGGTTATGAAATAATCACCTGTTTCCATGACTACCAAAAAGCGGGTCAGGGTGGTTTTTAAATCCTGTTTTTACTGAAGTAGATTTGTATCCTTGTCATGATAGATGGAAATCTATTTAAATTTTGATCAATTGATCCATCCACAACTTACCCGCAAGGCAGTTTTGTGGTCGGATATCCATATGTAAACATATGTGATAATAATAACAACTTAAAAGTTTGTTTGGTGCAAATATAAACTTTACAATTTGTCAATGCCTGCTATTGAAATAGAGATCCGAAGTCAACAAAACTTTGCAATACCCCAGCTGTTTACATTTTTATAAGTTTTTGGAAATCATAGAAAATTTTAACAGTTGTTGTGAAACACATGTTTAAAGCATTTAAAACTGGGTCATATATGAATTGCATAAGATATATATACACATAATAAAGGTGCAATAGCTGATTAACTCCTATTAAATTAAGAAGGACTTAATACGTTATTGCACTAAGATGACAATGTATGTATTTTTTGCAGAAGTAAAAGAGAAAAACATTTTTACGAGTTGGAAATAATGTCTTTGTAAAACGATTGAGACATGCATGGAGACTATTGTAACGTGATGGGTTTTGAAAACTGCATCGATTTTCTCGTGATTGAAATAAATGACGTGTTTCTTTCATTGTCTGGTGCACTTTCAAACATTCATACCCCATAAGCTTGTCGCCTTAACGTTTAACATTGTAAAGAACAAAATGCAAAACAAATGTCATTTGAAACGTTTCTTATTCTAATCAGTGAGAGAAAAAAAAATCCAGCTAAAGACGGAAATCACATTGACAAATTTATGCAGGCATTGTCGGGGATTTATGAATTAAAATCGGAGAAATGACTCATACATTGTTAAGCTCATGATACATGGTTTAGAATAATGAATAAACATTTGTAATCTTTTTGAATGTTGACTTGGTTTAAAGTAAGGAACAATGTGGCTCCTGTTTTAACTGCACATTTTAGAAACAGCATGTGATCGGCATCAGTAGAAATATAAGAAATTTTGACTCAAATAAAAATTCCATTGTTTTGTTAAAATTAAAAATAACGATTCAGCAAAAATGGCTTCTACATGTAGTTTATACTTAAATAGCTCTCCTTTAAAAAAAGGACTGTATATATTGTTGATTTTTCTTTTATTATGGAGCTCTCTTGTGTTGTTATTGATTTAATTCTACTTTTTTCACCGAGCCTGTAAAGCTATTCCATAATTTCTCTAGTCGTTTAAATACCCTCGAGTATAATGATATTGAAATATAGAAAGAATTGTCAGCGTGTCCAGTCTTTAAGTTAGAGACGCGTTCATTATTTCTAAATTTGTTCAATGAAACACAACTTTGCGGGCATGAACTTTTACGTTAACTGCTTTAGGGATGTGCTGTGTGTCTTGATTGGCCTTGAAATTTTAAACTCACTAGTTTCTATATTATACTAATTTGCATCATCTTAAACAGATAATCAGAATTCTTTTCTGTAATAACAAATAGGTTTATTGATACCAGAAATGGTGTAATTCTCATGATGTGAAAGAAAATTATTTTACAAGACAATTGATGAGTCAATTTTTGCGGCAAAGTTAAAGTCAGTGTAGCAATATCTTGAACTCACAATAATTATTGTCCCTCTTAGATATTCATTAGACTTAGCTGTATCAGCAAGACTAAACATGCTATAATAATAAGCAAACACAGAATGGCAGTCTATATAATTAAATGCGTTCAACAGTATAAAAATTGTGTAAATATTATTGATATATCATTATGAAGTTTTTGTTGTTCTTAATGATCAGCATCAGAAGATGTTCTGGAAAATGGCATGTTGGTTGAACATATTCAGATTTTATCTTCTGTAATTTTCTGTAATACGATTTAAAAAAAATCATTCAAAATTCTAGGTACCTTTTTAATACCCTGTTATCCTTTTGAATAAAATATATTAAACTTTCATTAGACACCCCACAGAGGTGTGCGTCTGCTTTTGATGAACTATTAATGTGAGTTTTCTGATTTAAATTACATATAAACCGAAGTCTCAAATCTGGCATTGCATCAGAATTATTTGTTTACCGATCATGCATGAGGTTGAATAGAAAATGAAAATCGTAAAAAAACTTATCTATTTTTATTTCAATCTTTTATGTGGATAGTTATATCAGGCGCCATTTACTTGTTTTTGAAGATTTAATGTTTTTGCTGCATCATGAAAAAATAATATAGGGGTACTTATAGAGGAAGCTGTAAAAAAAATAAATAAATACATTTTATCTTGTAATATTAAAATGAAGGAAATTTGTACCCATAAATTTGTGTACAAAAAAAACAGTTTGTATAAATTACTTTCCATGTGCAGCATTTATTTACTTTGGGTTTTATTGTTATCTTAGGGTTGCGGTATTGAATATCGGTATGAAGGGAGTCAGCGAAATACAGGACCGATATTGAATACTCGAATTAAGGTGTACTGTAACATTTATTCAGCAAGTTGTCGCCATTATTAAATCATTTTATAACGTATATGACTGTAATACTGAATGTAACTTTATTGTAATACATCAAGATTGGCATACATAAAGGAAATAATGAGTAAACCGAGAGATAACTAGCAGGCAATCTAACGCTAGACGCAGGCTAGATTGGATATTAACCAGTTAAAATAGAAGTCACGGAATAGCAGCTATAGGGTTATCATTTTAATACCAAAATAACATATTCCGTTTCACAAATTCTCACAGGGTTTGTTTTAATGGCAGTTTTATTGTGTTTTTGCATTAAAAGATAAGAATGCCTTCTGAAAATATCCATGTTTTATAAGTTGTAAACAATATATTGGTATGGTTAGTTAAGAAATGATTGTCTTTGATCTGAGATATATGATCTGTTAGTAATATAAGGGTGTGCATTTGCTCTGCAGGTTCGATTAAGCATTAAACATTTGATTGCATTAATCATAATTTATTGTTTGTGTGCTCGATCTCTTTTCAATCACATCATACCAGCAATATGTGCATGCATTATGAAGTTACGTTTGAATTAAAGGGCATTTCAAACAGTTATATTATGATTGAAACATGATTGTAAATTCTTATAGACATTCATGAGCAGAAAGCACCCCCCACCCCCACCCTCAAACTCAAGTTTGTAGTACACATGTTCTAGTTGTCACAGGTTAACCCTGGCAGCAACAGATTCTACAAAGACCAAGATCATCCATTATAGCAATGCCATCTGATCATTGTCTGCATTTTCCACTTTTCAGTCAGTAAAAATTTAGAAATTTTGATGACTGGTTTTGTCAATATAGTTAATAAATGAAATTTTTGCTTTTAAAGGGGTTTTTTGTCCTATATGTCAGGCAACATCCTATGTATTTGCTTTATAGTTGTTTCATTAATTATCATATGTAATTGCATTCAGTTCTAAGTCATATGAGATGCACTCTCGTTTACATTTTTAACTTATCTAAATTTTCTTCTGTGAAAGGGTGTCAAGAAATGTTGTGGAATTTGATTGTTCAATATTAATAATATAAATGCTAACATTTGGTTTGGATATACCTTTTGCAGGTTACAATTTCTTTGTATTTCCTTTGACTAATTGACCAGAAAAAATTGCTATTTGTCACAGTTTGAATACCTTCAATATACCCCATGCAATGTGACTATTTACCATTTCACCCTTTGTAGTCGGAGGAAAATGAATGGACCAATTTGTCCACACACAAAAATTTGCAAAACAAGCTTGTTTGTTTCGGGTAATATATCCTGTAGACCCATGACTAGTTGATTATAGGTAGCGGATTTATTTGTGTAGTGTTTCTGATAATTTACTAGGTTCTCAGATGTCACTTTAGTTATTCTCATGCGGGGTTGTGTGGTAAATTTATTGCTTCTCCAATTTCCCTTTTGTTTGCAGGATCTGCTTTAATGTGTTTGTTCTAGAAATGTAGAATCATACTGTGTCATTATGTATTACTATTAAAGAGGCATGCCCTAATGATTTATATATGAGCCGCGTCATGACAAAACCAACATAATGTGTTTGCGACCAGCATGGATCTAGACCAGCCTGCGCATCTGCGCAGTCTGATCAGCATCCATGCTGTTCGCTTACAAACCCTATTACAAGTAAAGAAACTGATAGCGAACAGCAATGGATCCTGATCTGAGACTGCACAGATGTGCAGGCTTGTCTGGATCTATGCTGGTCGCAAACCCATTATGTTGGTTTTGTCGTGACGCGGCTCATATATATTCTACAAGAGCTTTTGATGGGTTTATAAGAATATCAAAAATTAAATCAGCATTCTGTTATTATTTGTATTTAGAATTATAGCCGTGACCTAGATGCAATAATACCATTCTTTTTTTGTAAGGTGGAACATGTTAATGTACACATTTATGATATAATCGGAGTTGTTTATAATAAGCAAATTGAAAATTTCATTCAGTAAATTTACCGATAAAAAATTGGCAGGCAGTTTTCTGTTTTTAAATCGGATAAGAGTCATAATTGGTTTAGTGAATGGCCAAAAAAAAATGCAATTCATTGTGCGCCCTTGAAAATAGAAAGCATATGTTATAAATTGGTGTATAATTGAGGTATGTCAAATAAATTTTGAAACATGCGTGTTTCCTGTTAAGTTCTTTAACACACATGTCAGTGTCAATATGTTGGGGTGTATTTGGGTAAAAAGCCTTTTACCCTTTAACAAGCCATTAATGTTTAAAATTCTAAATAATTTAATAATTGCTATATAGGTCTAAGATGAAGATGTTTTGTATACATTGTTTCCATAGTAACAAAGCTTCATTGATAAGGTGTTATGAATGGGAAATTAATGAATATTGGACTAATTATCAGCCTCTTTATTTTACAGGTACAATATGCACAAGTCAAGTGTTAGACCGGGAAACAGCCACTCACTACTGGCTGACAGTCTATGCCCAAGACCATGGCCTGGTTCCCCTACACACAAGGCATGAAGTTTATATAGAGGTCAAGGACACGAATGATCATATCCCAATGACCTTCGACCCTGTATATTACGGAACAGTGCCAGAGAATGTGAATGAAAAGGGGCTTTTTGTGACACAAGTTCAAGCGTATGACCTTGACAAGAATCTGAACCAGACTCTGACTTATGAGATAACCCGATATGACCCACTCAACTTCTTCAAAATTGATAAATACACAGGTAAGACAAATTAAATATGAAACCCCCACTGTTGTTATCATAGTTTAACAGATGTGTGTACACAAATTTTGAAACTGCAATGTCATTATAATTTTTTTGCGCAAAGAAACGTTAGATTGCAGAAGTGAAACATAATCCTTGTTGAAACAGTACAATACCCATTATTTGTGAATTTAGTCTATCTAATGAAGCCAATGATAGAAAGTGATGGGTATTAGTAAGAATAATTTGTATTCTCATAAATTACGTTTATTTTCCCAATCAATCTGCAAAGCTATTGATGTAATCAGTGGCATGATTTTTTATCATATAGAGCAATGTTTTACACTCACTGCAAAGAATCAGAACACCATTCAAGCCTCAAGCAGTTGAAGCTGTTAAAATGGAAGTCTGTTATCCATAACAATTTACATGTCTTAAATTACTTTGTAAAAAGCTCTTCATTGGATGGAATGTGTTTTTAATTGATCTTAAGGGGACTATTTAGTAGATTGTGATCAGTTGTAAGCAGTTATTCATTTAATTCTTGATAGTAAAACCACTTCCATCAGAAGCTGTGAGTTTAATTAACTTGCTGCACTCAAAAGCCATAAAAAATAATGGCGGGTAAAAGTGTTTTAACTCAATTTTGTTAGCAACCAGATTTACGCTGTTTTATCACTGATTTCCTTTAAAGACTGTCGAACTATTTCTTGACAAGATGGAACTTCTTTATACTGCTGCGTCCTTGTGTTAATGATGGTGGAATGCAATGATACATCTGATTCTGGTCATTCTGGTGTCCATTTATGGTTGTCAAGGGAACAATAATCTCCCGTCATGCATGCAATTTATTCAGAAAAATGTGACCTTTTCATTAACCTAGCACTAATGTGAACTTGTCATTAGGTACAGAGTTATGAATAAATATCATTTCCTTTACTGTGTTCTCCCCAGATCCTAATGAGAGGTTTTGAACTTATGGTCATCGGAAGAGTTTCTGCCAGTCATAACCGTTATGTTTGTTATTATCCTTTTCTTGCTATAGAAAATGTTCACAATGATCAAATGTTACATGCTCATAATGTAATATTTTGATCTTATTATAACATAATTTAGAAGTTTAGGAATTGTACAGGCACAATCCTCTTTGTACTATCTCTCTTATTGGCCAATTTTAGAGTTTTGCTCTCATTAATGAACCAATCAGGTTTTGTGTATGAAGCTTTCCCTTTCTTGACTGTGTTTTTCACTTTTGATATCCAAGACCTTGTCTGAAACCCATCTCTAAAGCAAGGTGGTAAGGGTTTTTGTGTTTTTCACTTTTGATATCCAAGACCTTGTCTGAAACCCATCTCTAAAGCAAGGTGGTAAGGGTTTTTGTGTTGTTCACTTTTTGATATCTAAGACCTTTTCTGAAACCCATCTCTAAAGCAATGGTTACAGTTTTTGTTTGATTCTAAATTTGTTAGAGGCAATGATGGTAACATTTACAAAGATGGTAAATTTGACAATAATATGATAGAAGTAGTGATAATGAAGGTGTTGGCTGCTAAAAATAAAAATACCCACAATGCACTTTGGTGTTTATGATATGACAAACAAAAGGAAAATGATTAGCTTATGAAAAATAGTCTTGTCTCTAGGGACTGAAAGGCTGTCTGCGTCAGCTTTTAATCTTGTTGGACACTGAAATTAATACCAGTCCAGTATTATGACCAGTTGTCAGGGAACCAGTCTCTGCATTAATTGTTGGAACCGGAGTAAAATTAATCCGGATTTTTCTTTCACTTAGTAGCTTATCTGCCTATTATAGCCTACTAAACCTTCAACTTTTATTTTTATTTTGTTCGCGGAAACATTTAACTTCATCGAATCTGACTCGTGTACTTAGCTGGGTCAACATATTATCAGGATAGCTAGGATAAGAGGGATTTGTATGTTAGGAGATGGTTTAGGAGTGAAAACACTATAATTTTAATGTAAACTTGGGCATTTTTCTTCTGTCTTGCGGAATAAACTTCTTGGTTACAAATGGTTTTTCCGCGCAGGTCGAGCTTTGTTCCGTTTGATAACTTAAACACTGTAATTTTTTTATCGCTTTCATCTCTTATATCCATTTGTTGATGTTTGTTACATCTTTATTAACACTGAAGTCCTTTTATCCTTGAAAAAGTTTCAATTTTTACAGCACATATTAAAGTTGATATGCGATGATATCCGGAAACAAATCTAGATCGCAGCAGTTCTTGTATAGGTATTTGACAGTACCCTCAGTAGGGGTTGTTTCATTTTAAACTCCAGATTATTTTTTGCACGATTCTTTATTGACATAAGAGGACACTAAGATTTTCAATTGGAAAAAATATGCCCTTAAATCATCCTTAGATAATTCATTTACCCCAGGGGACCAATATTTATTATTCCATCTGCTATCATTGGGGTCAAAGGTCAAAGAACCAATTGCTGAAAAAATGTGGCATTGCGTTGAAGAATGAAATATTTTGAATTTATCAAGATCTTTGACTATGATAGAAATAGATTTAAAAAAAAATTTTTTTTTTCAAATATTTGAAATGGAACGCGCAGCAGATTATTTATTTTCTATTTTGGACATATCAGATTTTTGAAGAAGAAAAAATTGCGGGATTTTGTTTAATGGGCCTTATTTATCTGACAAGGTTAATGAAATTATTGAAAAACGAAAGATCATAATTATTTAATGACAAAAAGTCAGTGGGATTTATTAAATGATGTGGGAAATGAGATCGATGTAAAGAAATAAGGTAGTTAGTAAAAAAAACTAAGAATAAATTAATATCTTACTAATAACTCGGTAGCTTCAAACATTTAAAATGCGTAGTTCGTGAAATGAAGACTTAAGAAGGGATATTAACTTTTCACATATTTCCGAGATGATTTCTTGAAGATATAAATGCTAGAATTATATAATGGCTTAGGAAATGTAATGAACGTCAATCACGAATATCTTTGTAGCGAAATGTGTTTTATGCTACAAATACTTTAGATATTATGTAACAATTTTAATACTCTAGGTTTCATCAGATTCAGACTAATAATGACAGCCAGTGGGAAGCAACAAATTCTACAGACTTTTTAATAAACATATAATTAATGCTTTAAGTGCTAGTAAAGAAAATGTCATTAGAATACTGCCAGTATAATTATATGAAGTCGGGAGAGTGGGTGCGTGCCGCTAAATTTGAGCTTGATGAAATATTTGAAATGTTTGAACCCCATAAAATAACGATAGGCTGTAACTCACATCTAAATTGAAATCAAAGTAAGTCTAGAATTACTCCAGGAAAATCAGATGATAAAAAAAACTAATTACGAGTATTTTTCATTTTACGAATAATATATAAAGTACACAATTTATAATTAGGTTAGCATGTCATTCAAATTCAATGCAATACAATTATATCTATGAAATAACCTTGAAATGATTTTAAACATGCAATGCTTTTATGTTTCTCTCTTAATACCTATATAAATCAAAACGTTTGAATCAAGGTCTTTGAAAAGTAAATATAATACAAAAGAATTAAGACTTTTTATCAAATTAAAGCATATAAACGCAACAAATTATGCAAATAAATTGATAGAAATTTTGTGATGCATCTTTTCTGATTAAAACATTGGGAGAACAAAGGCCATTTGTATTGCTCTCAACAAATTTATGAATGACATATAAATGTTGATTTATCTGTCCTGGGATAAATTTATATTTACCTGAGCTATTTATCTAATGATTCATTCATCGGCCAGGGATTGTTCATATTAAGTGGTAGTGGCCGCTATCTGCAAAGATTTTGCATTGTGCAAAATTACTGTACACATCAACTGATATAAGGTGCAGAAAATAGAAATTTGGTTGTCGCATTTATTACAATTTTTTTTTTTGCCATATGAACACCTGCTTTTTTCAACTTGTCAAAAATAGTTTGATCGGTGTGTTTATCAGATATTGGTAAAAAGTTTACGCTTAGAATGTATTGCTGACACTTAGAACGTATTGCTGATGCTTAGAACATATTGCTGACGCTCAGAACGTATTGCTGACAGTGAGATGTTTAAAGTGTCCGCTATTAATCTTCGTAGAGAGGAAACAATGAACTTACACAAACTTATGCGAAACGCTCTTCGATAAGGAAGCCAAATTAGGTAGACGATGACTTACAAATAACAAATTATCATCTTTGAATAGCAAATGAAGTGAACTTGGTAATGTCCAAAGCAGATTAGTCACAGAACGGCTTTTGAATATTAATATATTATATGTAAATAATATTTTATTCTGTTAATAAATGAGTTTTTGTCTGCAATATTAAAACCTATGTAAGGTTGGAAAAAGATGACAGTCTTGTAAATTACATTGCAATGATTAAGTTACTTATAATAGAAAAGTATTCAACAAATTTGACTCTTCTAAAATAGAAATCAAATCAAGCCAAAAATTGTAATGTTTTGAAAAGAATTATGTAATTTTGCAGTGTCTATTCTAGGATTCGAAAAACAGGGGGGATTTTTATCGCAAAGTAAGAATTTATTACATTTGTTGATCTTTTTCCTTCTTCCTCTATGTAAAATTTTCCCCCTGCCTCTGAAGAAATAGGGGGTGAATTCTCAAAAATATAGGTGAATCCCCCCATACCCCCTCCTAGAATAGACACTGTTTTGTATGAAAACCGAAATAAAGCCAGAAAAATGAACCAAAACTTATTGATATTCAGAGCCTATTTTGGAATCAGTTTTGACAGAAAATGTCAAAGACCAAAGTTATAGTCAAATATTTAAAACAAGTCAGTCTTTTTTATATTTGTGCACATGAAAACAAAAGTGAAATCTGTATAACAATAAGAATTAGTTTATTGTAACTGTAAATAGAATAGACCAAGCTCGTCATTGCAAGAAACACAAATTATATGTAAAATTGTTGACCAATGTCATGATGTTCGGACCACAACATACAAAATGCATGTGACCACAGGAAGTGGGTG